CAGCAGCAGCAGCAGCAGCGACAGTAGCGGTAGCAGTAGCAGTGGCAGTGGCAGTGGCAATGGCAGTGGCAACGTTCTTTGAGTTGAAGGTAGTACTAGTAGTACTAGCTGTACGTAGCTAGTAGTAGTATTGGCCGTAGCAGCGTAGCAGCAATACAGTACTGATCTACGAAAGGAATGGGTTCTGACCTTCTGGGAACAAAGTGGCAAATGTAAACAATCTCGTTTACTATGTCTCTATCTCGTTCTGATCCGACACCCAGAACCGAAATTTGGCCATGCCACACGTGCGCTTCTAGCATACTAGCCATTCGGAAACGACTTCCATCTTTTTCTATGGAAAGGAAGCAAGAGACGAAGAGCAACAGAGCGAGAGAGAGAACGAAAAAGATCTGGAGTTGTATGTATAAGTATTATCTTACACAGACACATCTATACATATATATATATAATGTCTTATATATACACACACATGTCCATGGAAGCAAGCACATAATTATGACTGACATCTACATAGCAACTATGAGCATGTACAATACGTACTCTTTTAAAATCTCACCATCTCGTTTTTACTGCTGACTAAATAGTCGCGGTCGCTCATGTAAACCCTTTTAGTAACATTAAAAAGAAACCCTATAGGAACCCTTGTAGCTCCCTTTACTTCAAGAGACAGCCCTAAACCCCAAACCCCTAGAAAAGGGAACCCCACTTTAGAGAACCACCCGCATGATTCACCCTAAACCCTAAGCCCTAAACCCTGAACCCATGGGGGTTCAGCGAGGTCTGGTCTGAAGGTTTACAGGCTTCTTTGCGAGTCTTACTTGGAGGTTCATGGGTAGTTATAAGTTATAAGTGGGGTTATAAGTAAGGTAACTGTAATTATAACCTATATTAGGGGACTTATAACTCCATTTATAACTGCCCATGAACCTCCAAGTAAGGTTAAGTTTATGGCTTTGGGGGTTTGGGGTTCAGGGTTTAGGGCTTTGGACTTAAGGTTTAGGGTTAAGGACTAGGGAGGCGACACACGCCAACCCAAAGCCGAAACTGCTTCATGGGTTCGGTTTAGGGTAGTTTAGGTCAGGATTTAGGGTTTAGGGTAGTTTAGGTTTTAGAGTTTAGGGTTTAGGGCTTTGGGTTCAGACAGGGGTGTTTCGGGATCTGGGGCTGCGGAAGGGTATTTCCCAGACGGAGTCCTGGCACTGAAATTGCTTCAAGATGCCGATCGCCTGCACCTGGGCTTTTGGAACAGGGTGTTTCGGTCAAAGACTGTAAGCCTCTTGGACCATGCAAAAAGATACGTTCCAAAATCCTTGGGGTTCAGACTACCCATAGGCCCTAAAGTAGTTCCTTTTTGGGCTTCATAAATAGAATCCTATAAGGTAACCCCCAAAAAGGAACTACTTTAGGGCCTATGGGTATAGCAACAGGCAAACATGATTCCTATGGAAGCTTGGGCGATGGCAGGATTGAGGCTTCGCGGATTTGGGAGGCGGCTTTGCCCTGCAGGCATTATTACTTAGGGGCTGAGTACCCTAGCCCAAAAAAGGTTAACCTTTGCAATTATAGTAGGATTATATGAGACCCAAAAGGTTAAAGGTTACCTACTCAGCCACTAAGATTATTGACAGCCCGTTTCAACACAGAAGAAGAGCAACGCAAACCTTCGACACCTGGACTGCGCGCCCACACCCATCAAACTCTGGAAATTACACACCACAGTCTCCCTGGACCCCTGCGGCCATAATCCCAAAACCTGGCCGTTAGTGTTTAGAGCTTATAGGGCTTTAGGGGTCTAAGTTTTTAGGGCTTTATGGCTAAAGGTGTTAGGGTAGACCCTCAACCCTTTCCCCTAAACCCAAACCCCTAAACCCTAAACCCCTAAACCCCTAAATCCCTAAATCCTAAACCCGAAACCCCTAAACCCTAAACCCTAAACCCAAACCCCTAAACCCTAAACCAAGCCGCCCTATGCCCTGGCCCTATATAGGCTGGACCCTGAGCCAGTCGCCTTAAAGAGTCTAAACTTTAAACCCCGCAAACCTTACCAAGGTTTAGGGTTTAGGGTTTAGTCTAAACTTTGCCCTACATCCCATTTCGATGCAGAAATATAGCACGGTGACAGAGTACATAGTGTGAGCCTTACTCAGACAGAAGCAGCATTAGAAGCACATCCTCATTATCACAATTGGGCTCTTCGGGATGCTGACGAACCCTCGTTTCCTGCAGGGTCTAGGTCGAGGTACCAAGCGGTCTATATTGGATGTCCCGGAATCGAGAACCCGGCGGTTCAGACGACGGGGTTGTCTCAGGACGCACCGACAAGCGCGCAGGTGCTGATGTCCCATGGAATCCGGGAGCTCGTGCTGAGGTGCCGACCCATGAAACTAGCATGCCAAGGGCGCGTCTTGCACCCTGCCACATGCCGGCCTACACCCCAAATAGATAAGCTTGGAAGCCTCGAGGGATGTTGACGATGCGACCCTCACATATGCTTCAGGCTTTCCTCACTCTGTAGGTCTCGATTATGGGAAATATCCTACACACTGAACCCTGTATGTATATATATATATATATACATACATACATACATATCACCTACTAAGGCACCGGCTCAAAACTTTTTGGCTTCCTTCGAAGGGAGGGCGGTCTTCCTCAACCTTGCCGTGTTGGAAACTCGTGGGGTCTAGGCTTTCAGCGAGTCTAGAACTTAGGCTTAGGGTTTGCACCCGAAACCCTAAACCCTATAAACCCCAAAACCTAACTCCGAAACCCCAAACACTATACCCTAAAAACCTATAATGCTAAACAGGGTGGGAACATATCCATCCTTGTTTCAGAGCAGTCCACAGTCAATGATTTGGGGATTAGGGATGAGGGTTAAGCGCCCGTTAAGGGTTTAGAGAGTAGGGCTTATAGGGTTTAGGGTACACTCCCTGAGACCCACCATTAAAGATCTGCCGATGATTCAGTCGTAGCAGCACAGGGATCTGCACTCACAGCCCTCTTGGCATTGGGGGTAAACTCGACCCATCGCATATCGCACTTCGCTGTCACTTTGGACAGCGGCTCCCAGCCACGCTCATCACCTTCGTTGAGAAGGTCGGCAAGATTCTTCAAAATAACAACTTAAGGCCCCAAAACATTCAACCCTCAATGCTGAGACCTGACATGGGCTGGCGAGAAAATGCGAATCCTGCGGCACGAAGCCGAGCCGCCAAACACAATAATGGAAGGCGATCAGGCCTTAGACCTGCCGATAAGGCCTGTTACCTAAGACCGCAACCCAGGGCCAAACCACGGTTGTTGAGGCTGGTATCTCAGAAATAACATGTCCACGTTGAGTTGATACCGCGTGCTGTTTACAGCTTGTACTTTACTTTTTCTACTAAGCAACCCTCAGGTCCTACTATATATAGGGAAGAAAATGTGTAATTGTTCAGGCTCCTGCAGTCTTCAGGGCCTCAATTACTATTCTGAGGGTTTGGAGTTTGGGGGTTTCTCTACTGCAGGAACGCTAACCTGACTACTACAGGGGCCTTTATAGTCAGAATAAGGTCTTGGGGTATAAATGGGCATATTACACTATACCTACAATCTTATATTGCAAATAACAAGGAGCCCAAAATAATGTTGGTGATTTTTTGGCCCTATCTTAAGTATGCAGGCCCGATATAAGACCGAAAGATCCTCTGCGCTGTCCCAGCCTAAACCCTAAACCCTAAACCCTAAACCCTAAACCCTGCGCTGTCCCAGCCTTGTGCGTCACACGTTCACAATGTTGCCAACCTTCGGCCGGGTCACCTAAGCCTACATCCGTTTAGGGTTTAGGGTTTAGGGTTTAGGGTTAAGGTTTAGGGATCCCTAAACCGTGACCCCTAAGCCTACATCCCTAAACAAAACCCGAACCCTAAACCCTAATCCCTAAACTCGTAAACCAAACCCCTAAACCCTGAACCCTAATCCCTAAGCAGCCTCAATCTCCAAACCCTAAGCCCTAATCCCTAAACTGTGCCCCAAACCCTGGACCTTTTGCATTCAGTCACAGAAGAAGCCTTCAACAGTCCATACTCAACATCCCCAATGCATCATCCAAAAGCCCTACCTGGAGCAGTAGTAGTACTAGTAGTAGTAGTAGTAGTAGTAGTAGTAGTAGTAGTGACCAATGTACTTCTAAAACAGGGATGTGACCCCAACAGTGCACCTTGGTTTAAGGTTTTGGTTACTTGAGGTAGGCCCTAAGCCGACTGTGCATGAGACCTTCCCCCTGGTTACCTTGAGGGTCCGGGCCAAATCAATCCTTCAAGGCTTGCTTGAGGGGCTTAGGCCGGGGCTTTCAGGTGTAGGGCCCTTGGGCTAGAAACACCATGCTTGAGCAAGAACAACAAGCAGGATCAAACCATTACGCCACATGAAACAAGTGAGTTTTGCTAATCGTGGAGTTCTGAAAACTCTTGTTAAGCAATCGTTCCAAGCAGCATTAAAACATAACAAGGGGGAATACGATGAAACCTTTAAAGAACGATCTCAACGGGCGTTTATTCGGGTGCGAAACCTCTTGTTTAGGCGGTGAAGCTCAAAGCCAACGGTTCAGGGCACAGGTTTGGGGTTTAAGGTTTCAGGAAGGATTTGCGGCTTGTGGCGGTTAGAGCCTAGCACTAAGCACGGAGGGGTCAGGGCGCTGCTGAGAACAAAGGCTTCAACGAGAACAATACAAAAACAAAACAACGCACTGTGGAGCTCTTGAGAGTTTCAACATTTTAGCATGTGTGATGTATATGTTTATACATACAAATCTATAGATACCTACACACGCATGTATATCTTGATGTTAATGTCTTCTCACTGAGGCAAAAGACGCGCACCGGCGCCCTCAGCAGCCGTTGAAACCTTGGCGACTGCCCCAGAAAGCTTACGTCTCGTAGGGTTTAGGGTTTAGGCTGTAAGGTGTAGGATGTGAGGTTTAAGGTGAGGGTGTAGGGCTTAGGGGCCAGGTACCAGCTACAGTACTGGTTCGCTCGTATAATAAAGGGATGAGCCACACCCTACTGTTTTGTAGGCCATGGGGCTGCGAACAAAAAGGTAGAACACTTACTTATGACTTTTTCTCTTAGATTTAACTCCAAATTTTACAGCAACATGACCGAATTGTAACTTAAACAGCAAATCTCTGCAGAAGGTTTAACTTCTCTTGGTGTCTTTAACACCAAGCCACTAACTTTTCTGGTGTCTTAACGTTTTTTTTGGGGTGGTATTTAGCACCAAACCAGAAACGTCACACAAGGTTCATTTCGGGTTTCCGTCTTGGGTAAAGGGTTCTCGCTGGATCCACTCCTTAGGGCTTTCGTATTGGGCGAAAGGTTTTCGCTGGATTCACTCCTTAGGGTTTTTTCCTTGGGAATAAAGTTCTTGCTGGATTCACGCCTCAGGGCTTTCGATTGGTTTTCGTCTTGGGTGAAGGTTCCTGCTGGATTCACTCCTTAAGGTTTTCGTCTTGGGTAATAGGTTCCTGCTGGATTCACTCCTCCGGGTTTTTCGTCCTAGGGAAAGGTTCCTGCTGGATTCACTCCTTAGGGATTTCGTCTTGGGTAAAAGTTCTCGCTGGATTCACTGCTTAGGGCGTTCGTCTTGGGTAAAGGTTCCTGCTGGATTCACTCCTCAGGGTTTTTCGTCTTCGGTGGTTCGCTCCTTAAGGTTCTCGCCGGATTCGCTCCTTAGGGTTCTCGTCTTTGGTCAAAGGTTCCTGGCAAGACATGCGCATGGTTGTGTGAATGAGCTCGTTCCCTCCTCTTATGCAAAGCCTGAGTGCGGGGTTGGTTGGGGTAGGTGCGGTAGGTGGGGCGGGTGGGGTAGTGCTGGTGAGCGGGGTAGGTGGGGTAGGCAGGAATAAGCTACATCTAAGAGAAAAAAAGTTACCATTTAGCCTGCTACCCTCGAGGACCTCGCACGAAGTCGCGATGAGCAGCGATGGAGAATCCAAACAACGGCATCACAACCGTCACCAAATTCACTACAAGGTTCACTCTCCTACATGAGCACCTACAACGAAAACATAAGGACCGCCGCGGCAAGGACCACAACTGCAAGATAAACCTAATACCCCCTGTTGAGCCCCAAAGAACCTCTTGGTGCAACGAACTGTACAACACAGGGACCCGAATTCTCAACGGAGGGACTGTTGGGGTAGCTTCTGCCATAAAATTGCGGCTTTGGGCTTGAGCATGTAAATCGGTTA